TTGGTAAGATGGTAAGGGTGAAAGTGTCGTTCTCTTTTAAAGATTTTACTTCTTCATCCATAGCTTTTACCCATTTCTTGGACTTAACTGATCCCACAGCTTCCTCACATGTGTTTGGGATGCCACAAACTGCTCGGTAACAACAGTCTATGGTAGTGTAAACTTCATCGCTACCACAATGATCAGTTATAAAATCCTTCAGGTGACTGGGTTTTCTTTTCTCTCTAGTAGGATTCCTTCTAAAACAGGTACTTCTTTTTCTGCATCTGACACCTTTGGTTCATGCTCATCTGGTATGTCATTTTGAACATTTTTATCACTTGTCGTTTCATGAACTCCCTCATTGTGTTCGACTTTATCTGAGTTTGTGTCTGTCATAGGTTGTTCTACACTGGTGTCATAGGCGTCATTTTAACCGGGGACGCCGGGGACATGTCCCCGGCAAAATTTGTGATTGGCAGCTGTGTCCCCCCCACTTTCAAAAACGCCTGCTGATGAGGATTTTTGTTTTACCAGCTCAGATCTTATACCAGGGGTCAACAACCTGTTCCCATCAAAGAGCCATTATTACCCGTTTCCCACAGTAAAGAAAACACCGCAGCAGCCGCGGCGTTGTGGGCGGGGCCTACCCTCAGACAGCAGAGAGCTGCTCACAACCAGGTGACAGCAGCCGGTACCGGTCGCTCGCATGGGCGTCACACCCGTGGGGGATTCATCACCCACACTTTTCCAGCTGTTTTGCTCACCTCCACACCAGTCTGGTTTCTTTACGTCGCACTCACTCTGTTTGCCTCACCTCTCGCTTCTGACAGCCGATGTCGGGTTTCCAGGAGAACAGGAGAGGGAGGGACGGAAGAGCTCGACTGAATTCATAATTTTACATCTTGACATTAGCTGTACAAGGTCTGAGTTTGATAACGTGAAGAACAACAATTTGCAGAGGTTTATAACAGGCGCGGCGCCAGGTTTTCATTTTTGGGTGGGCCACGGTGATTCTGGACGGACCTTAATAAGCAGTGACTTAGTGAAGCAGGCAGGTCGCACTAGAAAATTTAGTTTAAAAAGATGTCATAAATGTGTTCCCCCGTCATTTTTATTTATAAAATATGAAGTAAAAACTCACAATTTAATTTTCATTCATTTGTCATTAATATGTAGTCTACACCCGTGCGTTAAGTGGACCATCTTCCAGTAAAAGCAAAGCATCCAGCCCACCTCTCCAAATGCGTAAAATGTGCATCAGCCGCTAGTTAGGCGCGCCGCGCGCACCGTCAGCTACGTCAGCCCAGGCAAGAGCAGAGCAACTAGAATAGAGGATAATTGTGTCTGGATGTGGATGGAGATTACATTTTACAGCAGCCTGATCATCATTTAAATAAGTAAACCATCACCTGTCTTCTAGTCCACGCTGTCAGCATTATTTTAATGTGTGTGTGTGTGTGTGTGTTTTCCACTTCAAACACTGGTCTAACCAACCAGACCAGCGTGTCCAGTAACATATTAATGTTACAATTAAACAGTTTCACTTCATGTAGGCTAGGAACGTTTCACCTGCCGTGGCCCGACCGCTTCTGCTCCACATGAACTTTGTGCGTGATCAAATGTCTCTACAGGAGCTTTCTGAGCTGAAGAGGCGATTCTGCCTCAGACTGGATGCGTAATGCGTCTCCATATTAGAGACGGGAACAAGAGCTGTTCAGCCAAAGTTTCATAATTTTATAAAAAGAAAATTTTTCCAAGTGACACATCCCTCAGAGAGACCGGGTTTCCAGACCACTTCAGTGGGAGGAAATCTTATCGCATGCACCGTGGTTCTGCACTGCGCTGCGAACCCCAGATCTTCAGCCCACTGTCCACCGTGGGCGCTCCGAGCCGCGCTGAACACATGCCCAGTATAAAGCTCTGATGTTCTGATGGGAATCATTTCTTGATTGATTTAGTTACCTCCGCGATGTGCGTAACGATTAAAATGTCAGCTCATCCATGCGCATCAGTGTGCGTCGGGGTAATTCTTTCAAAACAACCAACATCCTTGAGTTTATCCGTCAAAATAAACAGTCTAATGTAAATATCTGTAACCTGCCATTTAACTGTTTACCTTCTTGTGAAGATTGTTGCAAAGAGAAACAACTAAACCTGATTAAACCCAGAGCCACCCGTATAAGCTGTACTGACTGTAAATGAGGGGAAATGATTTAATCGGATCCTTTTCTCTTCAACATGGTTTAATGTAAAGTTTCATTCAGTACAAACTTTAGTTACATCAGTCTAACGAGACAGAGCCTGGATTTGTATTCTGAACAGTTTAAACATGTTTAAAACGGAGACATGCGTGACGCGTCTAAAATTCGCACCTGCTCCGCTATTATGGAAATTAAACTAACAAGATGAATAACATGAACTTATTTTAGGCACAGACAACATCCCCCACACTTTTGCAAAGATTGCAACGCGCCTGGTCGCTCGTGTACGTCAAAGTTATCTTTCATAAGCCGATAATCAATAAAACGATTTATATAAAATGGATCCAGAAGTTGTAGCTCTGCCTTCAATTTTTGGTATTTTTCACCCTGTTGATGGTTTTACTGAGCAGGTGCCCCTTTTGTCACACGTTTCTTTTTAAAACGCTGCGAGCACAAGCATGACGCGTCAACCCGGTCACACAGTAAGACCGGGTTGGAACTGTTCAGGTTTACGCAGACAATCTTTACATTTAGAATTGACATACAGATGTAAAATTTATGCAGTAAAGTATAAAACATTTTATTTAAATATCCATTCATTATTTTACAAGCACAGAGAGCCGCATCAGATGGATGGAAGAGCCGCATGCGGCTCCAGAGCCGCGGGTTGCCGACCCCTGTGCTAGCCTACTTTATTGTCCCCAGCAGTTTTTAAACCCCACTCAAGTGTATGGTTATTGTCCCCAGCTATTCTGACAACAAACTGACGCCCTTGGTGGTGGCCACCTCCCATTTAGCCACAAAAACGTGTTATTGGAGGCTATGGAAACTCATTGTCCAATATTTATGATGAGCGATACCCTTCTCCGCGAAGCACCGCAGCTAGAGAGGAAGAAGCCATTGCCTTTTCAAAATAAGGTAAACATTTAACGTTTCATGATATTTTAATTATTTCAAACTGTGATTATGGTTAGCATAAGTGCTTAAATGTAGGCTGTATGTGTCACTTCTTACATTGTTGTACAGTAGAGTAACGGGTTGCGATTTGTTGTGGTTGGACTTTTATGTTGAAGGGCTGTTCTTGGCCGGCTGTGTGCAGAGTTCCGGTTCGGTTGTTTAGAAGAAAACGAGCTAGTGTGATCGGAGATCGTTAACGGTGTTTCTGCTGGAGTTAAGACGTGGGCTGCGGCCAACAGTAACCCGGAATAAAGATCCGAAACGGAAACAACAAGTTGGAGTCATTAGCATCTCTTAGAAAAGGCAACAAAAGTGTGTTTTATAGGTGTGGTGGCTTTTGTTGAGCCGTGGCGGTGCGACACGAACTAGTTTAGCCCAGCAGAAAGGCCCCGCGGCTGGCTGGACCCAGCTCGACACAGCAGCAGAGCGGTAAGCTTCATATCACTCTAAAATGTCGGCTAACTTTACTGTACACGTTCATTTACGGGCATTAGCAGCGTGCTAGCATTAGCATCCCACCTGCTAAAGCTAGCACAACATGCTAGTAAAGCTAGCTCCCAGATTAATGTGGATTCGGACGATTTTCGTGGAATAAAACGTGATCTGGGAATTGTGATGAACGCCTTTTTACACCAGATGATAACCTTCCACTGACTGTAGCAGCAGAGCGCCTGTGTGTGTTACTCCGTGAGTGTGATGTGATGTTAGCATCCAGTAAATAAATCCCACATCAGCTAAAGAGCAGCGCGACTAAAGGTTAAAGTGCGTCAGCACAGCGGATTTAATACGAGTTTTAAAGCCCCAGTGTGTAATATTTTAACCTGTTTTACTATCAAATCCTGTGTTTCCTCAGAATCAGGTTTATTGCCATTGTCAGTGATCAAACAATTCACAAACTAGGAACTTGCTTCGGTACTAATGTGCTACACATAACCTGAATAATAAGATTAAAAATAGAATAAATATAATAAAAAAACTAGAATAAAACTTTCAGCTATAAAAAATGGCAGGTAATGGTAACATGGCCGATAACATGACTTTGTGTCGAGTACAGAAGACCAGCATGGTTGTGTGTTTATAAGCTGTTCACAAGTCCAACGGCAGATGGAAAGAAGCTGTTCTTATGGCAGGAGGTTCTGGTCTGGATGGACCGTAACCTCCTGCCTGAGGGAAGCGGCTCAAAAAGTCTGTGACCCGGGTGAGAAGGGTCAGCTGCTATCCGACCTGCACGCCCCCGAGTTCTGGAGACGTACAGGTCCTGGAGAGATGGAAGGCTGCAGCCAATCACCTTCTCAGCAGAGCGCACAATGTGCTGCAGTCTGTGTTTGTCCCTCACCGTGGCTCCAGCGTACCACACAGCGATGGAGGAGGTGAGGATGGACTCAATGTTGGCCGTGTAAAACTGCACCATCATCTGGGCCGGCAGCTTGGCCTTTTTCAACTGCCGCAGAAAGTACATCCTCTGCTGGGCCTTTTTGATCAGGGAGCTGATGGATGGCTCCCACCTAAGGTCATGTGTGATGGTGGTTCCGAGGAAGCGGAAGGAGTCCACAGTGGTGACGGGGGTGTCCGTCAGGACGAGGGGGAGAGATGGGGCTGTGACTTTCCTGAAGTCCACAATCATCTCCACTGTCTTCTGAGCATTGAGCTCCAGGTTGTTGCTGCTGCACCAGTACACCAGCCGTTCCATCCCCCCTCCTGTAGGCGGACTCATCACCGTCAGAGATGAGCCCGATGAGGGTGGTGTCGTCCGCAAACTTGATCAGTTTAACGGAGTCATGGCTCGAGGTGCAGCAGTTTGTGTACAGGGAGAAGAGCAGAGGAGAAAGTACACAGCCCTGTGGAGATCCTGTGCTGATAGTCTGAATGGTGGAAACATTCTTCCCCAGCCGCACGCACTGCCTTCGGTCCGTCAGGAAGTCAGTGATCCACCTGCAGGTGGAGTTGGGTACGTTGAGCATGGAGAGCTTGTCCTGGAGCAGAGCAGGGAGGATGGTGCTGAACGCAGAGCTGAAGTCCACAAACAGGATCCTAGCGTAGGTTCCCGGGGAGTCCAGGTGCCGCAGGATGAAGTGGAGGGCCAGGTTGATGGCGTCGTCTACAGACCTATTAGCTCTGTGCGAACTGCAGAGGGTCCAGGAGGGGGGAGGTGAAGGACTTGAGATGAGGCAGGACCAGGCGCTCAAAAGACTTCATGACTACAGACGTCAGCGCCACAGGCCTGTAATCATTCAGTCCAGTGATACGGGGTTTCTTAGGGACAGGGACAATGGTGGACAGCTTAAAGCAGGCTGGAACGTGGCAGGACTCCAAGGAGATGGTAAAGATGTCCGTGAAGATTGGACACAATACCTGTTCACAAACGTGTCCTTTTTCACTAATATTTCTCACCAACATCAATTCTAAATATTCCTCTCAACTTGAAATTATACATTTTAAAATAAACTGTGGTCGGTGCTCCATGGCCATCCACCATCTTAAAATACAGTAGGTGTTTAGGGGCATACGAGCTCCACGTTACCCGTTTGGACTCTGGCTGTAGCCTGAAAGAACCAGCAGAGGGCAGCAGTGCGCCCTGGAAGCATGGAGTCTGCTAATTCAACTAAGAAGTAGAAAAGAATAGCTACACCGTTGCTGTACTTGTTAGTTTGTATAATAAACAATTAAATCAAACGACATAAAATTTGTCAGCTCATCATCATGTCCAACCAAGCCCCCACAATGCGGGTGAAAATTTGAAGCAAACGTGGAAATGAAATAAATTGCAGTTCCACCCTCATCCACTAGGGGCTGGTGTCAGAAGCGTGCAAATCCTCATTGACTCCCATGTTAAAAATACCAATTTCACAGCAGAAATAAACATGTTTACAGCCTGGTACCAGAACATGTTTTTGGTTTAAATGATCTAGTTTACACTCATGACAACTCTGAGGGGGGTGAATGTTTTTCTCACTCTTCTGTTTAAGTGTATTAAAAGCCTAAAATTCTGTATAATTAATGAGCATCAGACCCAAGTGACCACAGAGCTAGCTCCGGGGAAAGGCCTCAGTAGAGCCTCGGTCTGGCCTGGAAACTGTTCCGGGATTTTGAGTCTGTGTGTGTGTGTTCTGTTGTGGATATTATTTGTGCAATTGTTGGACAAAATGACTTGCTGTGGCATTAATTGCACTAATAGAGCGTCCAAGGAGGTGCTTCTTTTCTTCTTCTTCCTGTGTCTCTTCCCCTTTTTCAATCTCTCTTATGTACCCTTCTTATCTGCAAAACAAAGCATTTTCCATTACGGAGCAGTTTGCATTACAAGCATTTTACAGGGTGAAGCATTTTGCATATATCAGCAAATCACAAATAGCAAAATAATGTGATCATTACCTTTAGCAAGATGGTTCCAGGTTCATTCAAAGTCTATTTCCCCACAGTAGGGCTGTAGCGAAGCCTCGACGACGTCGACGGCTCGATTATAAAAATTTGTCGACGTCAGATCCGGTAGTCGACACACCGCGCCCACTTGTTGCATCCCCAGGAGTTTGTAAATAGAGGAGGAATCTGCCTGTTTTTCCTCTAGTTCGCCCTCTTCTCCGCCTTCACTAACATCTCCGCCAAATACCGAAGACCCGGAACAACGTCCGTCCACTACTAGATTATTTTCCTGTTTTGCCCCTTCGTCTCCCGGCAACGGACAACAACTTCCGGGGTCAGATGCGCTGCTTCGTCTCTATCGCAGATGTAGAACATCACCGGGAGCGTTTCTCCCTTCATAAAGGAGCTTCTTTCAGACATGAGGAGAGCTGTTTTGGTGGTAGCAGTCTCTCCTCCGTGCTGGTCTGTTTGCTGCTGGGTGTTTTTGGTTTATTTAAACTTAGTAACTTGAACTTAATGTTGGTAAAGCTACTGTTAGCATCTTCGCTAACAGCTTCTTGCGTTTGGATAAGCTGTTACGTTTTGGTTTAGAGTTCATCTTTTTTGTGGTGCAGATCTCCCTTTTATTACATTTAGAGTGTTGTGGGTTTTCGGTTTAGTGTAAAACATCACCTGAGTTTGGTTTAACCCGTAACACCACTCGCCTCACGCACATAAGTGACCAAAACAAAGCAGCATGGAGACACTCCATCTTCTACCACCTCTCAGGCAGCAGCCTGCACTCCCAAGTTCTACACGTCACCAGAACATAACCAACCAACACAATAAAAGCAGTGTTATACAAAATGGAAGGCCTGTAGTGTTTATTCTCTTACAGTAACAATTTATCAATTTTTTTGAGGAATTTATTTGAGATTTTCTGGTTTTTGTTAATTGTGCAATAGAAAAATAATCATTAGATTAATTTTCTAAATAGTCATTAGAATAGTCGACTATTCGATAAAATAATCGTCAGAATAATCGTTTTAAAAATAATCGTTTACCCCCAGCCCTACCCCACAGAAGCTTTCACATCCTCTGGACGTGCCCTTATTTGGTCCGCTTCTTGTGTTCTCCTGCCTAGATCGCATCAGCAGCCCTCCGCTCACATCTCCTTCCATCGTGACATCCGTACGTTGCAGCACGCGGGGGCTTGCAACATGGCTATCCGTAGATGTCTCCTCATTACACAGGGGAGGACGGGGTTTGGCTCATCTCCGCTCAAGCAGGATGGAAAAGCAGAACTCCGTTGGCGTTGAACGTCCTCAAATAATAAAAAACCAGAACGCCAAATGCAAAGTTTAGAGCAGCACATTTACCCAGAGGCTCTCAGATTGAGCAAACGTAAGAATACATGTGATAGCTGCTTAGAGACGGAGCAACATGTCGCTAGCATAGCGGCTAATCGCTAGCATAGCATTTGACCAGTTTTATCGATATTAAGATATAAAGTCATCTTGTTTAAAAAATTATACTGATATTTTAAAAATATCAACATATCGCCCAGCCCTATCCCAGGCCTTGAGATGCTAGTAAAAATAATTTAGCCAGTGCTAATGTTACTTTTCTTCTCCTCTGAGGAACACAGAACGCTCAGATGTTGGAGCTTCACGTCACCTACTGAGGAGCACCAGTAAAGAGACGGCGTCTGGACCAGACCAAAGTGAGTGATGACACCTCAGCCTCTAGGAACCACCCTCATCATCTTTGGTGTGTTCTTGCTGTGTTGAAATTTTAAGTCCATCTTTTAGTTCTCTTTAAAACACAGAACGGTTTTATTTACCTGCAACGTTTTGTTTATGGCTGCAAACATCCTCAGAGCGGACGCTGATGGTGGCGTCACTTCCTTCTCCGTTTATCCGCGGGCAGCAGAGGACGTTGTCGCCCTCTACTGCCCGCTCTCCCCTCTCCAACGATGCAGTCCCATGCGTGGTCCAGCGTGTAAACTCCGTCGTCCCTGTTCATGGTCCCACATCCACGTCTCCTTATCTCGATAGCTTCTTTTATCCATCTTTTGTGTTTCTGTTGTTCGGTGTTTATGATCCTTGTGTTGTCCCAGTCCATTACATGGTTTTCTCTTAAGCAGTGATCCGTTACAGCTGACTTCTTTATTGTACTTTCTGCTTCTTGTTTTGCTGCTCTTGTGTGTTTTCCACTTGTTTCTTTCTCACACTCCTTTCTATGTTCTATTGTTCGTGTGTTGAGTTGGCGTCCGGTTTCTCCTATGTGTGTTTTATTGCAGAGTTTGCATGGGATTTGGTAAACGACTCCACATTTAAGTCCAGCTGGTATTTTGTCTTTTGGGTGTACTAGTCTGTTTCTAACTGTTGTGTATGGTTTTGTTGGTGTGTTTATGTTGTGTTTTTTCATTGTTGCTCTTATTTCTTCTGTTATGCCTCTGATGTATGGTAGGGTTATCACTGGTTCTGGTTCTTGTCTTTCTGGGTTTATGGTTCTTTGCTTTGGTTGTTTGTTTCTTTCTGTTGTTGTTTGTTGTTTTCCTTTGTTTATTGCCCATGTCGGGTATCCGCAGGTCTTTAAAGCGTGTTGTATGTGTTTGTCCTCTTGTTGCTAGTGGATAAACGCAGAAGGAAGTGAAGTTTGCAGCCGTAAACGAAACGTTGCAGATGTGGCAGTGTGAGCGTCCTGTCACAGTGTCCCGATAGATCATGCGCCCTGGCTACTTGGCCAAGGGGATGTCCCTTTGGCTGACTGGTTAGAGCGTATGACTCTCACCCGGGAGTCTGGGGATCGAATCTCGCCCGGGCCCTCGTTTATCCACCTTGCCACATTTGTGGCACCTTCCTACCGGGTGGGTGGGCTATACTATATATCTACAAGATACAAAATCCCACCCAAGGATTACACCAGGTAAATTGAGAGCGTCTGCCAGAGATCAAAGGAATCAGCCATTAACCACCGCACCGGGGTTTATTGAAAATACTAATTAAAACATCATTAAAAAAACCAGGTTAGGCCAGTCACTATAAACGGTTGCCAGAACTGGGCCGGAGAGTCTGCAGCCTTATCTGGACGCTGCGGGGCAGATTCCTCCTCCTTCGGGACGCTTGTCCGCCACTCTGCCGGTTTCCTCTTCCCTCGATAGCTCGCCTCCTCCTTCAAGACGCGGGTCTGCCGCACCGCCGTTTCCCTCGATCGGCCGCTTCCTCCTGCAGATCAGTCACTGGCTCGGCCGCGTCACCGCGCCACGCTGTCGTCCTCCTCCGTCGCGGGTCCACCTGTCAGTGAATTTTAACGGCAGTCACTGCTCGATCACACACCGCAGGTCGCACCTTGTCACAGGCCGCTACTCACACGCCAGGGCAGAGGAATACCCTGCCCACATCTCCATGAAGCCTCGTCACAGACGATCGGTGTCCTTTCACGCGGCGACTCTCTGCTTGCTGCCACCGTCTCCACCCAAAAAAAAAGACGCTCCTAATCTGCCACCGGTGCAGATAATTGTTCCGGTCCGGATGTCATCTGTCCAAGCTCGTCAAAATAAAATCACACACCCTCTCAGTTTCCTGGGTTCCCCAAAATAAAAGCATTCCATGCACTAAACTAAATAAAAAAGAATACACACTAAAAACACACCACACTAGAAGGAAAACCACAATAAACAGACTTTGCCCGTATGACATCCCCCCACTTCTTGACGTCGTCAGTCCCTGTGACGTGAACAGTTCAATCCCTATACCTGTCCGGTGGCTTGTCAAAATTAGGCCGAGCAGAGCGCCGCACTGCTTCCTGTGGTCCATCTTGGGGAGCCCCGGCCGGAGCTAGGGGAAAAAACCCATAGAACAATGGTTCCAGCCACCTTAGAGTCTCTAAAAGCCTTTGACGGCCTGCTTCAGGCTCCGCTACCGGTGGTAAAATGTCTACAGGGGGTGCTGTACACGGCTTCAATGCATTCCTATGCGCTGTCTGCTGGCGACCACCTTTTTCAGGTTGCACCCGATAAACCACCCCCATCTCTCCCACCTTGTCCAAAATCACAAAAGGATCATTTCCCCACCATGTACACAGTTTCCCTCTGCCCTGCCTGTTTCTCTCCTGCACCCACACTCGTTCTCCTGGCAGCAGGGGCATGGCCTTGGCCTTCTTATCATAATGCTGTTTCGACTGAGAAGCTGCCTCGCTCATCTTTTGCCCCGCTATATTATAAGCGGTGGAAAGTCTCCGCTGGTGCTCATTTACCCACCCACTCAGCTCGTGACGTACCTCTTGGGGGCCAACCCCCAGTTCTAGATCTACCGGGAGTCTCAAATGCCTGCCAAACATGAGAAAAGAGGGCGCATAACCGGTGGAGCTGTGTGTTGTGTTGTTATACGCATGTACCAGCTCAGAAATGTATTCCGGCCAGCGGTTCTGCTTGGCTGTCTCCAATGAGCGAAGCATGCCTAGCAATGTCTGGTTGAACCGCTCTGTACCACCATTCCCTGCTGGATGGTATGGCGTTGTGCGACTCTTAGTTACACCATAGGTGTCACAGAGCTGCTTCATTAAGGCAGACTCAAAGTTAGGGCCTTGATCCGAATGGAAACGGGCTGGGCAGCCAAAAGGTTGAATTACATGCGTCCACAGAGCCCTCACTGTGGTCTGCGCCGTCTGATCTCTAGTAGGGATGGCCCAAGCAAACCGGGTGAACAGATCTGTAGCAACAAGTATGTTTTGGAAAACATCAGTAGGCCGACCAAGCGATAAGAAGTCTAACCCTATCACTTCTAAGGGGTAGGACACCACTACAGGGTTCAAAGGAGCCCTCAATTCTACCTTCTCTCTCTGTAAACTACAGGCGACACAACCTTGATGGTAACGACGTACCCCCCCCTCTTGGTCTGGCCAGTAGAACTTTTGTCTGACCCGGGCCAGGGTCCGGTCCACACCAGCATGGGCAGCTGCCTCGTGGATTCTCATCCAAACCTCTCTATGTCGAGAGCTGGGACATACAATCTGGTAGTGTTCCTCATTGGTGCGGGGCTCGATCACCCTCCGGCACAGTAAATTGCCCTTATTCACAAGCCTCTTCTGTTGTTGTAGCTACTTCTGGGCCGTGCAGGACATAGCTTGTCGCTCTGCTCTCGAGGGTCTCGTTTGTCGGTCCACGTACTCTTTAACCACCCGGATATCCGGGTCATTGGCTTGAGCCAGCTCCCATTCACCATCAGCCCAATCTTCACTTCCCCCATCAGGGGCGAGCTCCACGGCTGCCGAAAATGCAGCCTCCGCATCGGAGGGTTCATCATCCGAGGTGGGCACTGGGAACCTGGACAAGGCATCAGCATTCGTGTTGCTTTTTCCGGGACGATACTTGATGCTGTAGTTAAAGGAGGCAAGCTGAGCAACCCAGCGCTGTTCCGTTGCCCCCAGGCGGGCTGTCTGCAGATGGGCAACAGGATTATTGTCGGTATATACCGAGAACGTTGCACCGGTTAAATATTCCTTAAACTTCTCGGTTACTGCCCACTTGAGTGCCAAAAGCTCCAATTTGAAGGAGCTATAGTTCACGTCATTGCACTCAGCTGGGTGTAGGCTACGGCTAGCATAGGCTATGACACGTTCCTGCCCCTTTTGTACTTGAGCCAGCACTGCTCCCAGTCCCTGGTTACTTGCATCTGTGTACAAAATGAATGGCAACGAATAATCAGCGTATGCCAGGACTGGGGCCTGGATAAGCGCTTTCTTCAGTGCGTCAAAGGCCACTTGGTGCTCAGGGGACCATCGTACTGCCCGGGTCTCCGTCCCCTTGTTAATAGGGGCGCCAGCCAGCAGTGCATTCAGCGGCCGGGCAATTTTTGCAAATCCCGCTACATAGCGTCTGTAGTAGCCAGCCAGTCCCAAAAAGGCCCGCACTTGTCGCACAGTAGAGGGGGGCGGCCAATCCCTCACCGCCGAGATCTAATCTGGGTCAGGTCTTACCCCTCTTTGATCTACCACGTGGCCCAAAAATTTCACCTCACGTTGCAGTAGTTTACACTTGTCCAGCCGTAGCTTCAATCCGTGCTGCCACAGCCTTTGGAGTACCCCGTCCAGATGCTGTAGGTGAGAGGAGAAATCGGGTGAGTAAATAATGATGTCATCCAAGTACACCAACAGTGACTCTGCCATCTGACCACTTAAACACTGCTGCATAAGTCGCTGGAAAGTGGCGGGGGCATTACACAATCCGAACGGCATGCGTTCAAATTCAAACAACCCAAGTAGAGTGGTAAAAGCAGTCTTCTCCTGTCCTGAGGATCCATTTCGACCTGCCAGTACCCACTGGCCAGGTCAAGGGTAGAAAACCACTCTGCTCGGTTCAGACTGGTCAGAGTCTCCTCTATCCTAGGCAAAGGAAAGGCATCTTTATGAGTTACTGCGTTCAATTTCCTATAATCGACACAGAATCTCCAACTGTTGTCCTTTTTCTTCACCAGGACTATGGGTGCAGCCCAGGGGCTACAGCTCTCTCTAATCACTCCTCTCTCCAGCATATCTGACAACAGGGATTTCACCTCTCTGTACATGAGGGGAGGGAGAGGTCGATATCGCTCCCTAATAGGTGCTGCCCCACCAGTGTGGATTTGGTGTTTTACGGCCTCTATCCGCCCAAAGTCTTCATCATGCTTCGCAAAAACTTTTTCCCACTTCTGCAGCAAGGCACACAACTCCTCCTGTTGA